ATTTCCCCTCGGGGTGCACCAAAGTTGGGAGGGCGAATAAGCCTTATTTACATTGACCTTAATGGGGAAATTCCCCTGGGGTGGCAACCAACGCGAGTTGCAACCAGAGTCACGGAACGGATTAAGTTCGTAACTAGAGGTACCACTATAATGCTTAGGTCCATCCAACACAGATTAGAGCCCTACATGGACTAGGAGATGCCAGATGTTCAAGCTGGCTTTAGAAAAGGTCAAGGAACATGAGACTTTACTGCTGGTCAATGCTGTAAAAGCCTAAGAATGCCAAAAAGAAGTCAATGTGTGCTTCATTAACTATAGAAAGGCCTTCAATTGTGTTGACCCATATCAAACTGTGGGATGTCCTTAGTAAAATGGGAATACCAGAATATCCAATTGTCATCATGAGAAACCTATACACGGAACAGGAAGCCATGGTCCAGACAGAACATGGTGAAACAGTCTCCAGGTGAACAAATGAGTGTGACAAGGCTGGATACACTCCCTTTATATATTCAACCTATATGCAGAATATCTACTGAGGGAAGCTGGATTGGAAGAAGATGAGTGTGGTTTTAGAATTGGTAGAAGAAATATCAATAATCTGCACTCTGCTGATGATGCTACTCTGATAGCTGAAAATGCGATGAATCTGCAAGCTCTAGTAATAAAAGTCCAGGAGCTCAGGGACTAAGATTAAACATGAAAAAGACCAAATTAATGACAATAGGTATAGCAAACAGCCTTAGAAATGACAATGAAGATACTGGAGTGGTGGAGAGCTTCTGCCTTTTAGGATCAACTATCAACAGTAAAGGAACCAGCAGTCAAGAAATACACCACAGACTAGCACTTGGTAGAGCAGCCATGAAGGCCTTGGAAAAGATATTCAAATGCTGGGATGTGTCTGTCCCTACAAGGATAATCATGCAGGCAATGGTATCCTCTGTGACACTCTGTAGGAGTGAACTTTGGACTTTGAAGAAGCAGGATAGGAAAGAGTATACTGGAGTGGTGGAGAGCTTCTGCCTTTTAGGATCAACTATCAACAGTAAAGGAACCAGCAGTCAAGAAATACACCACAGACTAGCACTTGGTAGAGCAGCCATGAAGGCCTTGGAAAAGATATTCAAATGCTGGGATGTGTCTGTCCCTACAAGGATAATCATGCAGGCAATGGTATCCTCTGTGACACTCTGTAGGAGTGAACTTTGGACTTTGAAGAAGCAGGATAGGAAAGAGTATTGATGCTTTTGAACTTTAGTGCTGGAGAAGACTCCTGAGGATACTGTGGACAGCCAAGAAAACAAACAAATGGATCACTGAACAAACCAACTCAGAATTCTCACTCAAGATACAAATGACCAGGCTCAAATTATCCTACTTCAGACACATGATATGAAGATCCAGCTCTCTGGAGAAGGCTCTGATGCTGGAAAAGGTGGAAGGAAAGAGAAGAAGAGGACAACCAGCAGCAAAGTGGAGGGACTCAGTTACAGTGGTGATGGGGGCACCGTTTGAAGACCTGAAGGACCAGGTTGGGGAAGATCATCCTGAATAAGGTCTATGTGATTGCTAAGAGTCAACACAGACTTGATGGTACATCATCATCATCATCATCATCCTTAAAAATTAAAAATTTTAGTGGCTGCATCCCACTATTCTGCTTAGAAAGGTGTCCACCTGCCTAGAAAAAAGATGTCATTGAGAGCATACAGTGAGTGGCTGAATAAATGGTTTATGAGAGGCTAATACCCAACATAACAGCCTGTCCATGAGACTCTAAAAATTCCCAGTGTGTCCACAAAACTGAAAAGTAGGCAAAGTGTTGGAATAAGGACAACTATTTTGAGCATTAATGGCTTCCACCAAGGACTACTGGTAAAGCATAGTTTTGGGAAAAGAGATACCAGACCTACAGCAAATCTCTGACTACTGTGTTACACAGATAAATAAGCCAAAACAGGTTTATGATTGTGGCAGAGTTCGTGCAACACACTAATCCATAAAAAGGTTTATGTGCTTTGCTAAGCACGCTATATAAACACAACCCTTTGTTTGGAAATCATGTTTTATGACTTATGGTGCTGGAACTATAGCTGTATCAAACCATGTCTTAATATAGGGTGTGAAATCAAGAAACTGCATTACACTGAGTTAGACCCTTGGATCTTTTCGCTCACTGCTCTTTATTATGACAGGAGGTGGTTCCCTAGGTTTCAGGCAGAAATTAGGGATTGAATCTGATTCTGAATTGAGTTTTGGCTGTTCTGTAATATACTTCTTGGTAATATAAACATACCCAGGGCATAAAATCTGTTCTGCCAGTTTAACTGTCGCTGGTGTTGGACACACACAAAACCAGTTTCAGACCATGTAAAGAGTGACTCATTTTTTCCGCATTTTTTTAAAAGCAAAGGAGACTTCGGTTGTTGGATGTTTTAAGTGTCTGATGTTTAAACTGATCAATGTTTAACCCCAGATTGAGGATGAAAGGCAGTGGAAGAAAACATTAAAAAAAAAATGTAGGAAGGAACAAAAGTTATTTGAGGAATTCCTTGCTTCAGAGCAAGGCCATCAGCTCAGATCAAAAGCTCAGAGCAGATGGAGGTTATTCTATTTATGTATAACATTTATTACCCAGTTTTTATTATTAATATAATGACCCCAACGCAAGGGTACAGAGTGGGATTAAATCGACCCAGCCTCTTAAAAGCAGGACAACAAAAACAATAGCAGCCGAGATTCAGTTAAAAGCCTCAGGGAAAAAATATATTTTCAGCTGCCGTCGAAAACTTATGCAGCTTGGCGCCAACCATAAGTTAACAAGGAGCAGCTTCACAACTGGGGCACTCAGTGTCAGGTTACTGCATAGGAAGTCTCTGCAAAGGTGCCCTATTTCTGCCGGGGCACCTTTGTCAGATTTTAACGATTGGACTAATATATAACTATAAGAAGGGTTTTGAGTGTCAGCCCAACCGCTTTGAATATGCAAATGGACAGCCCTCAGGATAAGGTTCCTGCACAATTTTGAGGCCAACTTCCCATTAAATGGGTCATCATAATCCAGTTTTGAGATGGACAGCAGATAGGTCGTGCTGAATGACCTCTCCTGTCCTGAAACAGCCCCCTGAGTTTTAAAAAGGCATTTGTTGCTATGACAATGATGGGTCTGAAAATAGCCCCAGATTATGCATTTGCTCCTGAATTTCCAGACATGAAATTTCTGGAGGGGCTGGATCTCCAACACAGGGACCATCTGCCCATACCACTGTTGCCTGGTCAGGATTTATCCAGCCCACTGCTTTATCCAGACGAACACATTATGCTAAGAGATAAGTTTCAGAAGTCTCTGTGGGGGGGGTGGGTAGGGAGGAGAAGACAATTCAAATGACAAAGTGGGTGCCATAATGTCACAACACACACCCTGCCATTTATATACTTGTGTCCAGTGTCGCAATGCAAGTTTGTAAGGGTGAGGTTTCAATAGAAGAGAGTATCTGTAGCTCAGGGTTGAACTGTGGAGTCCTTGGGGTTCTCTGAGCTGGGTTGTTTTCTTGCAAACGTTTCATTACCCAGCTAGGTAACATCTTCTGTGCTAGAATGATGTGTGATGGAATGGACTTATGAAGGCCAGGCTCAGGGAGATAAGCGTGTTCTTAGCCCCCAACAGGAGCGTGGGAAGTTCAAGAAGATGAGGCGGGCACCTCCTAAGGAATTAACGGTGTTGTGGGTGGGTTGGGTTGGGGACA